GATGACCGTTGTTACTGTGGTGTTAGCGTGTTGGATGACCGTTGTTACTGTGGTGTTAGCGTGTTGGATGACCGTTGTTACTGTGGTGTTAGCGTATTGGATGACCGTTGTTACCCATGGGGTTTTCATTGGCTGGTGCATGGGTGTAGGTGACCAGCCCTTTGTTCCTTGGTCTATGTAAGGCTAGAAGCTCTGTGGAAACCTGTTTAGGGTCAAAACAGCATCATCCCCTTCTGACAGATGGGGTTAGTGTATGAGGAGCATAGACGAGGAATCGAACACCTTTGAGCCACCAGTGCCCTCCTGACGGATGTCCTTGGTCTTGCTTTCTTGGTTGCTTAAACTGGGCCAGGCACTTTGCCTAAGCGCTGAGCCGGAAGCTTAGTGAGAACTCACTCAGTGCAGGCTGAGTCAGGATTTAAGACCCTGGCTGCTTTACCAACATAGAAGTGATGGGGACATTGGTTTATTTTTTGAGGGAGTAGCACTTTGGGATCTGTGCTGTAAAAAGAGAACTCTGGAAGTCACAAGGGGGACTGAGTGACCTTGAGGGTGACAGGGAAAAAGATCCACCCAGGAGTCATTCTGTGTGAGAGGTACTGAACATTCCTGACAGGCTCCTTGGGGCCCCTTTACCGTCATCAACATGAGAGGGGAGAAAGTCCCATAGGGTCGGGGCAGAGGGTGCCATTAAAAACAAAACATATGGCGAAGAATCCAAGGCTAAATCGGTCATCCATGGGGCTGTCTTCTCTAGGGAGCATTGCCTTCACCTTGTTCACAGGGACTGGGAATCGCTGAAGTGCTCAGGACTGCAGGACAGAGGGAGGGAGTGGACTTGTCCCTCCACTGCTGAGCGCAGCATCGTCACTTTCTAACTGATGAAAGTGGGTTGGGACATGTGACTCCCTTCTGCTGACCTTGGGGCCAGGCTCTCAAGTGTGGCTGTGTGAGAATCACTTGATGAAACACCTGAAAATAACCTGGGTCCCTGACCAGACTCTGGACAATTGTCCTCTCAGGCAGGCCTGTACCAATTTGCAGAGGTTTCCTTACACTCTGAGACTTACTGTGCATCATTTTCTGTATCACATGCAGTGCCTGCTGATGGTATATTTATGCAGGTTTTATGTTTTGTTTGTTTGAAAGTGATCCCCTCTCTTTTTTGTTTTTGCAGGATACTAAGTTATGGATAATAATGGAATATCTTGGTGGAGGCTCCGCACTCGATCTTGTAAGTATTCTGCTGCAGACTTGCTTGTGTTCTCAGTAAACTCGGCTTTATGATGATTCTGTATGTGTCTTTCCCTTTTCCTTGTTTAAATCATATTAAAAAGGAACAAAACTGGTCCTGACAATATGTAGGTCTACTTTTTGTTTTATGGGTTTTTATTGTGAATTGAGTGAAGGTTAACAGATAAGATCATCAGCTTTACTTTCAAGTAATCGTACATTTGACTTCATCTCGGGGATTATTCTCCCTTCCCTGTAACAACAGTTACCCTGCTTTCTCCCTGTGTACCCTCCCCCCTGCCCCCAATAATAGGGTTAAAGTTTTTATTGTGAATTAAGTGAAAGTTTACAGGCAGATAATCAGTTTTACATTCACCAAAACGTATACTTTGTTTCATTATAATGACTATAATCCCCTCCATGTACCATCAGTTAACAGTATTTCCTCTCTATTCATTTTAGCTCTTTTTTTTTTAACATTCAGGCATATATAATAATTTAAAGCACCAAAGGGCACATTCTCCAAGTCGGCTTCCTGGCCGCCACCTCTCAGTCCCTCTCTTTCCATGAGTCTAGAGTTCTCAGCTGCTGCCTCTCTCCATGTCCTCATCTCTGCCTCCATATCAGATGACGCTGCATCTCTGGATAGATAGGGTCCCATATTCCAATTGTGCTCTTCTCCCTTGATGGTCCTAGGGTCCTCTGTTTCTGGACTGTAAGATTCACTACTTACCCGTTTTTTGTTTTTATTTTTTATACAAAACTTCTACCTTTACTATTGTGACAGTCACAATTAGTCATGATAACTAGTTACTACTGAATCATAAGAATCTTGTCCCCATCTCTTTTTACCAGAGTCATCTAGACAAGATGAAAACTCTTCAGCAGGGACTCTGTCTTCCCCCATACTGGCTTACCTTTTACATCTTATTTTTCACAAATCAACAAAACAAATATATTTGATGTATACCTACAAAACAAAAATACGTATTCGTTTACATGTCCAAAGGGCACACTTTGCAAGCCAGCCTCCTGCTGCTGTAGATCGACTTTTGAAACCAGTATCATTGTGTCATGGGAAAATATATAACAGAAACCAGCAAATTTATTCATAGAAGCAGTGAATGACTTTTTCCAAAAATGATTTTGCCTAAAAACAGTGTATTAGCTTATTGGCCAACACAAGTTATGTGTGTGAAAGCTGATTACCATTGTGTTATTATTTCAGATGGTAACTTCCCATCTTAGCTTCCAAGGAGCTCTGGTAGCGTAGTGGTTACGAATTGGGCTGTGAACCTCAAGGACAGCAGTTCAAAACTACCAGCTGCTCCACAGGAGAGAGATGAGGCTTTCTGCTCCCTTAAAGATTTACAGCCTCGGAAGCCCTGTACAGGGTCGCTATGAGTTGGAACCGACTCCACGGCACATAACCAGCACCTCCAACTTAGCTTCCAACATAGACACATGGTGTCTTGACGTACCAGGGATGAGTGACGAGCATGGTGTTGAAGGACGATGTCAAAGACCAGAGCAGTAGTCAGGACAGGGAGGGGACGCAGCCTTCCACTGCACGGATGCACACCGAGGCAGTGATTGCCCTGCCAGCCCCCACAGTGAACTTAGGATGCAGCGGGACCAGCATCAGTCCATCATCTTCTGTGACCCTTTGACTGCATTGCTGTAACACACACCAGCCCCCAGACTAGACTAATGTAAGACTGTGCTGGGAAAGGGCCCGGGTGTGATGCAAGTGGGCTGCAATTGGCCGCTAGTGGAAAGGTGGGCTGTTTGCACCCATCCAGCACTTCTGGGGATGAAAAGGCATGGGTGATGTGCTCCAGTAAAGGCTACAGCCGCCGAGAAAGCAGTACAGAATGTGAGCACTTCTGTTCTGTAACACACAGACGGGCCTGCCGGGAGTCAGGGGCCAGCTTGAGCTTAGCTAACCGCAACAGCAGTGTAAGATAGCTTTAAAGCCAGACTCTTTAGATTCACATTTAGTAGTAAAGTTGTGGTTGTATTGTGGACTGTAATGGACTGCTCAGAAATAACCAATGTACCATAAGCAGTACCTCCCTTTTTAAAATTTAAATACAGTGCTCACATACTTGTTTATTTACTACCTGAGGTTGATGCTGTATTAAAATCAGTGTAGTCAGCCACCTTTCCGTACCCCTTCTGTTAGCACTGGGTGATGATCTCTGGGACAGGCCTTAGCTGTCATTTTAGCATCAGAGGGTAGACCTTGTGTTGCGTGGTGGACAGTGAGTAGGGATGGGGGTGTATAGTTTCCACTGCTGTTGCTGTGTAAGCTGCACCAAGCCTGTTTGTTAGCAGTGATAATCTGTATACACTTAATTCACTAAGGAATGAAATGCCTTTGATTAAAAATATAACTTGTCTTTATAATAAGAATGAATCGTTTTTTTTAAGGTGAATTTCTAAAACTTTTGTATATCCCCAAAGGGCCTTTTGGCTATATACCCAATTGAGAACACTGCGTAATTTTACAAACTGTAAAAATAACTTGTCAAAGTAGTATTTAAAAGGAAGCATTCAAGACATATTATGTACTCTAATATGGTATAACCAAGATACTAATATGGGAAAAACAACAAAACAGCTAGGTAAATTTTATGACTTGCTTTTGGTTCCTTTCTATAAACATGCACTATACACAGAGAGCTTACCTTAAAAAAAAAGTCTTGTGGGAAACAGTACAGCAATGTAGAAAATTACTCTCGTGTCATATAATTAGGTGAGCTACTAAGTGGCTTTATTTGTGGCTCACGTAGGATTGTTTGTAGGAACTCACTTATCCAACGCAGAGTTCTTCAGAATAGCCATTCTAGTTCACGGATGCATCACTTAAATCATTCTTGATGCCACTGTAATTTAATTTGTTTGGTAGTAACTTTCTCTGAAGCTTTGAGTTACAGTTTCTGTCTCTGGAATTTTAGACATTTCGTTACAAAGATATATAGAGCGCTTCCTTTAAAAAAAGCACAAAAAAACACATAGAGTGCCAATGAGTTGGTCCTAACTCAGAAATCCTGTGTAGGGTTTCTGAGGAGCAGCTGGTAGCTTTGAACCACCAACCTTTATGTTAGCAGTCCAGTGCTTTTCCTATATAGTACGTTCCATTCTAACTCATAGCAACTATATATATATATATATAGGATTTCTGAAACAGTAACTCTTTTCTCCAGCAGAGCTGCTGGTGGCCGTGAACTGCTGACCCTGTGATTGGTAGTCCAGTGCTACTCTTACAGCGCCACCAGGGGTCTTTTACAGTGTGAGGGTGCTGAGAAGTGGTTGTCCTTTCACTTAACTCCTGCGACAGAACCAGACATTCCTGTGAGATGTCACCAGCCGTCTCATTTTGATAGGTGGCTGATGCTCTGAGGTTTTGTTGTTGTTGATTCTGACCCATAGCGACCCTGTATAGTGTGTCTAAGGAGTGACTGGTGAGTTTGAACCACCGACCTTGTGGTTCACATGACTGACTTGTCCTACAGCACTACACCAGGACTTCAGAGGTTAGGGGTTCCCGCAGCCAATGGCAGAGCTGGGCTTCGTCCTTCTAACAAGTGTGGTCCAGGCCCTTTACCTCCTGTGACACTGGTGTGCCTTTCTCCATTTTATAACTGGTGTGGTCCAGGCCCTTTACCTCCTGTGACACTGCTGTGCCTTTCTCCATTTTATAACTGGTGTGGTCCA